TATAAGACGATTGTTTCCGGCTTCGCGATTTCTCTGCAACTGCGGCTTTCTTGTCTGAGGTCATGAACATGAACTTTGACCTTGTGGGTTTCGGAAATACGCCACCGTTTTTGCCATGACGGAACCGACAAATAATGCCTCTTCTTAAACCGTCGAATCGGAGGACAGAGATGACGACATTGTGTTTTAGTGGGTTTATGAAGTGTTCTATCTATGATAACGAATGCGGAATATGAAATGATTTAGTGAATCATGCAAGAATCATGAACACGAAGAACACAAGGATGTAAATAATTTTGTTTTAAGCTCTCATTAGTCTAGAAAGTATTGAAAAGTGGGTCATGCAATATTTCTCTCTCTAGACTAATCTCTCACAAGTTCTTACATAAAATGAGTGTCACTCACTTCCTATATAAAGGAATGACAACTCATTACACACAAACAAAATGGTAAGCTACTAGAAGCATCCAAGCATGAATTTGCATCCTAACATTCTCCCCTTCAAAGTTAGGATTGAATGTCCCCGCTTCAATATCCAACGAGCTCCAAGTGATAAGTCCCAAATCCCCCTCAAATTGATATCGATCTTCAAAAATCGCTTTGAAATGAAGTAACTCGAATACCCGTTTCATATTTCTCCCGCTTTTTATAAAGAAAAATGATTATAAAACGGAAAGGGTATGAGAAATTCCCGATGAATGCACCATATAAAAAACCCTCTTGATGTGTGTCAAAAAAATATACCGCAAAGATCTTGCACGAAAAACAATCAGGAAAAGTCAAAGCAAAAATTTCCAAAAATTTTGAAAATTCCGACTTTTGATGAAAGTTTGCAAGTAATTCGAAATTTCAGGTAAAAACTACCAATATCAGACTTCTGCAGGACCCATTGCGCCCAAAACAGCCTAAGATGTGAAACTTTACCCCAATTGCGGAAGTGGGCATAAAGTGTTAATTCGCATTAACTGCAGGGGCCTATTTCGAATATATTCCCATTTCTCAGAATTTTCAGCCCAATGTCGAAACTGGGTAAATTCTGCCCATTTGCTGAAACTTCAGGTGTTTGTAATGAAATTCAGCAATTAACACTATTTTTCACGGTTGTTGTCCCCATTTCGAAACCGGGTGAAAATTGTCACTTCTATGAAAATTGAGGGATTCGAATCGACATGTTTTGTTTCTTCTCCACTACTCTTCGAAATCAGATACGTTTCAGTTCTTCGAAATCAGATAGGTTTCAATGACCTTTGACCAAAGCAAATTGATACCCATTTCGAACCTTCGTAATCAAACCTTCCTAGTCAAATAACCTTCGATCCTTTGTACTAAACTTTCGAACCAACTTCAAGTCACATCGAGTGTCGATTATGCACCCCAAACCTTCGATGTCGACATAACCATTCAACCAACATCAGTCGAAATACATTCGATTCCAAGTGAGGAAATCTCGACCTCCAGGTATTCAACTATCAAATTGAGCAACCTTGATATCTCTTTAACCCATCAGACCTTCAAAACACAATCTCTAATTCAACTTTCTATTTCTAATTCAATTTTCGATGTCTTCGTCCCCAGATCATCTCGTTCCCAAAATTCCTTATTCCCTCAAAACGATATCCAACACAAGACTGTGAAAGCATTCGACCTCCAACACAAATTCACAATGTTGACTCCAACCTATAAATTGAAATCGACTCCTCTCAATTCAAACATCTCAATCCAAAATTGAACCAATCGAAATCAAATACGATATCAATCAAATGCATTCGATCCAAATACTCCATATCAGTCGAAATCACAAAATACAAATCGAACGAATCCAATATCCTTGTTCGACTTAGATTCAACACCTATCACCAATTCGAAATCGATTTCAATGCTAAGCAAAATCATTCGACTCCAATGTTCTCCCAGTACATAAACAAACTGATTTTCGACTCAAAATACTTTGGATTCGACTCCAATCCAAAACACATTTCGATTCTAGCTTTTCTCGATTCGAAGTTTTGAACTAATGATCTCATATGAACATTCCAAAATCAAAATCGATTTCAAGCAATATCATCAAAAATCGACTTCCAACGAACTCAAGAACACAGACAAATTTGAAATCGTTTCCAGACCACATCGAAAATTGACTCCTTTCGACTCTAAGACTACTTTCAACTTGATTCGAGGACAAGAACAACAACATCAGGTTGATTTTAACACAACAAAACATCGATTTCGACTCCAAAAATTCTTTCACGTATCGAGTTTGAATAGAGAGTAAACCATCGATTTTGACTTTTAGGTTGACTGTTCTTCATCAATTTTTCAATAATTCTCATAACAATAACTCGATTATCAGATATGTGTAAACAAACTGGGCTTAAGATTTAGTTCTATTGAACAGTAATGAAGATTTGAGATTTGGGACCAGTAGAATGGATTGATGAACAGTGCATTTCAAAAGAGTTTACTTTTGATTTTTGGTTAAATCAAAAAACGATTGGGCTTGAATAAATATTTGCCAAAAACAAAAAAATGATTTCGAAATTAAGAAAAATTGTGAGAATATGAATTTGATTTTTGGATTGATCTAAACAAAAAAACTAATTGGATCAAGAATGGGATTAAAACGAAATAAATCTAACGAATCAAAACGATCAAAAATAAAAAATGAAACGCACGAATCAAAATTAAAATTGAATTTCAATAAAACATGGATCGTTCTTCATTGGATCATCAAAAATCAAGAACGTTTTGGAATCCATTTAAGAATGTGAGAAATCTTCTTGACGATTATTTTTCCGTTTGCAACACACGAATCAATCATTGATGACTGTAATACCCTTAGGGTATTAATTTTCTATTTTTCTTTCATTTTTTTAAATCTAAAACTTATTTATTTATTTTAACATTAAAAATGAGAAGGGCTCTCTCTCTCTCTCTCTCTCTCTCTCACTGATGAACCTGCTTCAACACACACATATTGATGATGAACATATAAATCGACACCACCAGACCATCGATTTAATAAAAATATTTATTCTCAATTCACTCAAAAACTACCAAGACCTTGAGTAATTATGATGGAGAAAACAAAATCATGACTAAACCTTTTCAACACACACATACACTGATTCAGTGATTTAGGGAAAAAAAAAAACAATTCATATATGAACCCAAACCAACACATCCCGCAATTGACCAAATTAGAAGATAAAATCATGTCTAAACCCACACCAACACATCTAGTGATCAATGGAAATTTTTTCATGGATGATAACAAAGGAGGAGAAGATTAAACCTATTGATAGACATGGGAGATGATGGGTACACAAAATCAACGACAAAATAAGCAATTGATCAAATTAGAAATCAATTCGTCGCCCCCTAACCCGCTTCATCTCCCTCGTCTAACCCCTATCCCCTACAATTTACCACCGTAACCCACCTCCTCTAGCAAACCAACCCCACCAGCCACCATCGCCACCTTCTGCTATGGAAACCTCTACCAACATTCAGTTTTGGGGTTTATTGAAGAGATTCATCACTTGATTCAGTTTTGGACCTTCTCTACTCGTTTCTTAGATGTCAATTTTGTCGAGAATGAAAGATGGAGAAACACAACTTATTTAGTTTGCTCCTGTAGGAAAAAGGCAACAACACCATTGATGAACGCACCAAAGCTTAACTGATGGTGATAGGGTTTCGATTTTGTCAAGAAGATGATCAGAATAGGGTTTTCGGATGGTATCGACTATGAGAATGATGAAGGTGGGCGTTGATTTGTGGTAGCTGGAAGGAGGAACGATGGTGAGTAGCTGATGGTGGGTTTTGAAGAAGATGATGTATCTTCTAGGTATTAAAACGAGAGAGAGAGAGAGAGATGAGCCCTCTTATTTTTTAATTATTAAAATGAATAAATAATTATTAAACTTTAAAAAAATGAATTTAAATATAAAAAATAAATACCCAAGGGTGTAAAAGTCATTTCTGTTTACCGAGGGACCAAATCTACGACGAAACTAGCTCAAAATGACCGTGAAGCCTAAAAAGTCGAGGTTTGGACTAAACCTCAGAAAACATACATATCATAAGGACCATTTTTGAAATTTTGTCGTTAGAAAAACGAAAAGAAAAAAAAAAGTTTTCATCCAATTAGGTGAAGAGAGAGGAGGCGGGGTAGCCTCCCCTCACTCCGAAACCGCACCTCCGATATTATGTTCCGAGGTGCGGTTCCCCTTCCCGCTCGATACACTTGGCCTTGTAGTATCATAAGATTTTAAAATAAAAAGTAATCTTGAGACTAGGGGTGACAAAAAACCGCACCGCAACTAAAATTAACCGCATAAACCGCAACCGCAATAAAAACCGATGGCGAGTTTTTTGTTTTTCAAAAACCGCAAATTTGCGGGGCGGTGCGGTTATTAGTTTTCAAAAACCGCACCGCACCGCATATATTATATAACTTTTTTATTAATAATTAATATATTAAATATTAAAAATAAGACGAATTTAATGGATGAAAAAATGATAAAATTTAATAAGACAAAAGTGTTGGTTTTTTCTTATATTTAACTTTGGAAAATGATGAAATTTGACAATTTATAGATATTTATTGTTAATTATTAGCGATCTGACGTTTTTAAGATATTAGTTGTTTGTAATTTAAGTAATTGTCTTATTCCATATGATTTTTTTATTATTACAAGTAATAGGTTTAAATTATTAAAATTGTTTGAACTCTAAACCGCAGTTAAAAACCAAACAAAATAATCACACCAAATTCATGCGGTTAATAACCGAAACACAAAAAAAAACAAAATCGCACCGCAAAAATAGCCGCGTAAACGCACCGCAAAAATAACCGCACCAAACGGTTTTGAAATGAATTAACCGCATTTACGATTAGTAGTGAAGTTTTGACCAATAACCGCACCGAACCACCGAACCGTGCAAACTCCTAATATTTGACCACCATAATTTGGACGAAGGAAAAATATTTTTCTTATCAAACTGCAAAATGCCAAATTGTCAATACATACACAAACTTCATCATACCAGTAGCTTCTATATCTTTAATACCACAAAGTCCATCGCCATCTCCGTCGAATCACCACCCTTCCATATCATCGCATCCATGGCGCCAGTTACTAGTGAACACGGCTACGATCGTCTATCAGAAGTGAAAAAATTCGACGAATCAAAAATCGGCGTAAAGGGATTAGTAGATTCCGGCGTCACCACCATCCCCAGCTTCTTCCACCAACCACCGGAGAATCTCCCTGGTCCAAAACCTAAAAACCAACCGAAATTAACCGTGCCTGTCATCGACTTATCTGCAGAAAGATCAACCGTTGTTGAAGAAATTCGACGATCAGCTTCCACACTAGGGTTTTTCCAGATCGTCAATCATAGCATTCCAACAACGCTAATCGATTCTGTTCTTAATGGTCTGAAGAGTTTCTTTGAGCAACCGACGGAGTATAAGATGCAATTCTATCACAGAGAAGCAGGGAAAGGAGCAGCTTATTCTACCAATTTTGACTTGTACCAGTCAAAAGCTGCGAGCTGGAGAGACACGCTTCAGGTTAGATCCAAGCGATTCTTACAGTAATCAACTTGATTCTATAACGCTTATGATTATTCAGGTGAGGATGGCGCCCGTAGAACCGGATTGGGATGCGGTGCCGGAAATGTGTAGGGCGGCACTGAAGGAGTGGGACAAGGCGGCGGTGGGGTTAGCAGAAGAATTGATGTCGATTTTATGCCAAGGATTGGGAGTAAAGAGCGACAGGTTAAAGGAGTTATCATTTTTGGAAGCAAGGGTAGATGCGTCCCATTATTATCCCCGGTGCCCACAGCCAGATCTCACGGTGGGGCTCACCGCCCACACCGATCCCGGCGCACTAACCGTCCTGGTGCAGAACGAGGTCGGTGGGTTGTTGCAGGTCAAGTGTGGTGACGACTGGGCTGACGTCGAGGCAGTTCCCGGCGCCGTTGTTATCAACATCGGCGATCTGCTTCAGGTACGTTTGTTTTATATATAAATTAATCGGAATCGTATATAAAAATTGTATTAATTTATGGCATAGATGATGTCTAATGATGAATACAAAAGCGTGGAACATCGAGTATTGGCAAACCCTGTTGAAGGTGCACGTGTCTCTCTTGCCGTGTTTTTCAATCCAAGCAACCGAGAGGGCCTGTATGGGCCGTTCCCGGAGGTGATATCTGCTGAGAAACCGGCGGTTTACAAGGAATTTACATATGCAGATTACATCGGAAGATTTTTCAGGAAGGAGCTTGACGGAAAGACGTTGACCAATTTCTACAGAATCGATAACAAAACAGGCTGAAGGCTGATGTAATAGTAAAATATGGATTGTTGTATTCGTATTCACTATTCAATATTTAAATGTTGTATAGAATAGAACAAAACACAGTGATACATGTATGTATACTTGTGATATGAAAAATTGCTTTCATCTTTTGATCGATCCAAATCCAACTATCTGAATGCTTTTGGGCGTTTATGATCGCATTTCAAGCATGCCGTGTTTCTCCTGAAGTTTATGTAGTTGCATCTGCAAAACGAATGTGAGAACCAAAAGTTGGCCTAAACAAGGGAGAATTTTTATCATCTTTGTTGGCATAAAGACCACATCATAATTAGTTAATTACCAAGACAAACTCAGAACCTAGTAAACTTGATTTAGTGAAAATGAATTTTTTTCTTTTTTAATGAAAATTATGTATTATGAAGGGTCAAATGCAAGAATAGCAACGTACGCATAAACATGTTTATGAAAACATATCTTTTTTATAACAAGATTATCTTGTAACTTGGAAAATCTACAGGATTGATTAATCAGTAAAACGATTCCCCAAAACGGGTGGTGTCCTTTCACCAAATTGACCCTTTCGAACATCTATCACAATATAAACATTTTCTAAAATAGACTTTTACCAATTTGTTTTATGAATGGACATCACTATTATAAACTTAGAAAAAATCGCATTTGTTTCTCTTTTTGCAATAAGACATCATTAAAAAGAAGAAATCGGCAAAAAGATAGTTAACAAACTTTATTTTGCAACATAGATGGTGGTTTTGTGATGTTTGTTCACAGTGTGATCATTTGGTGAGACAAGTATGATCTCTTAAGAGTAATAATAAAAAATAAAAATAGATACAATGCTATAAACTGGTTGGTAGATAATTTAAAGTATAAGGACTTGATGAAAAAAAAATACTAAAGTGCTAGATGTGTAGTAGAATTGTAGAAATGAAAATAGAATACGCTATGACACACAAATAAAATCATATAGATAATCACAAAAATGTACATCTAATATTTTGACTGTCTTTTATACATAGAGCCAAAATGTTGGTCAGTTTCAATATATTTTCGAGTTTTGAAATTTCTAACAGAAACCGACCACTAAATTAAAATCCATAATTAAAACTTTGAAGTATGTTTTATTATTATGATATTTTAGTGAACTTTGAACTGTAAAGTGCACGAATTTTTAAAGTAACTAACGTATTTTGATTGAAATTTTATTCTTTGAAGTGTATGATTTTTAGATTATTCATCGTATATTAGGTTGGTTGTAATTGGATGAAAACTGGATCATGAATATGCTAATAAGCATTCACTTAATCTTACATTTTGTAGAAAAGGGTATTATGGGAAATCACAAAAATAAGAGCATCTTTTGGTGGGAGGGGTATTTTGGGTATTTTTTTCTATTTAGTTTGTTGCAACAATGATTATAAGAGGGTAGTGAGAGTGCAGGTATCATCATCTATCTTTTGTGAAAATCTAGTCTTGGTACCTTTTGGGATAGTGGCTTCTCGAATATGCCAAATTATCCTTGTTCTTAATCATTACAATACTACTGAGTGAATATCCAATCTGTTTTCTGTGTTGCATATTGAATTATTGTGTTTTCATATTAAGAATTGAGTGAGTTCATAGCAGAATACTTTCAAAATAGAATTTTTTTTTTTTTTTTAAGGTTTCTTGTGTGGTGGATATAAATTCGTTTAATATTTGTCAAAACATGAAATGCTACATGGAAAATTGTATTTACGTAATTAACCCTAAATAAAAAGTATGTCGCTATTTCTTGCATTTAACAATTAACACTAGTATGAACTAAAAAATGCTGGTTTAAGTGGGACTCGGTCAAGGAAGTATTATATGGAGTTTGGAAAAGGGAAGAACTCACGAGTCACACTCCCATTCCCCTGGATTGAGTTGTCTCTTTGGTGGGTTTGTATGGCACTGCAAACATCTTGTGTTCTTGGCAAAATTTAGAAAATTGCATCTGTTTATCGAATAACATCAACTTAAACACAAAAATGAGAAATCAAGATTTACCTCTAAAAATCAAATACTAAGAATTACAAAAGTTAGTATACCTTTTACATAGCCAATCTCCCCTTTTCAGCTCAACCAGATCCCGATTGTCTCCTGATGTTTCTTGTCTTTCACGGACTTCACAACTATTTTTTGTATTTCTCTGAACAGATGGAACACGTTTTGAAGGATCAAAATCAAGTTCTTCCTTGCTATACTTCACCATATCTCTGATTAAACTTCTGATTGCTTCCTCAAACCTTTTGTTCATAAAAGGTTCATTATCTGGTGAATCATTGAGATGATGAAGGCCATAGGTGACTACAAAACGCATCACATCAACAGTCCGACCACCTTCATCTTCACGTGGCTTCACATATGCTCTCTCACAGTTTCCCCTCAAAATGCAACTGCTGCAAACCTGTTAAATCGTTTGTTATTTTTGTATATTTTGTTAAATATAAACAAAGATTCACACGTACATTTCCTTCGTCAATACCCATGTGTGCCCTTAGCCGTTTGCCAGAGTTCACAACTTTCCGATCTATGCTGGGGCAGCCAGATCCGGCAACCGCGTGTATGTCCCCTCTCGTGAAGTAACTGAATCACAAAGCCGTGATAAGTGGATGAGTAATGGAGAAATTTGAGAGGATATTATCATTCAAGAGGTGGAGAAGTTTCACAGAGGATTATTGTCAAACAGGTGGTGTGCTTCAGCTCAGAAGCGTCGTAAATTAAAAACAAATGAAGAACAATGTTATATACCTCATGAGATCAGGCCGATCACGAGCGAAGTTAAGACAAGCGGTTCGAATTTGATTACAACCCTTCCCATGGATCAACTCTCCACTTCGAAATGGATTCCCGACGACATCGAAGTACCCGTTTTTCATCAACTTCTGCATCAACCCAACCCATTCCGGCCAGTGAGATGAAATCACAATACTCGAGGTTTCAGCGTCAACTGGTTCTGCGATTTTCGGTGTATCTTGTGATGGTTTTTTAATGGGGTTTGATGACGGGAGGTCTGCACATTCATCCAATATGAAATCTATGGCCGGATTGGAGATTTGGGTTTCCTTGAGTGTTTGGAAATGAGAAATTGGAATCATTGATTTGGGGTTTCTGGGTGATGATTTTAGGGTTTGACAGAGATGCTTAAGCATCTTTTAGTCTTTTACAAGCGATTGATCAAAGTTTTGTTTGGCGGGAAAATTAGGTCACTTATTCATTGGTATTGAGCAAAATCAAGAACAGAACTACAAAGTAGTTCTTTTTCAAATAAATAAATAAATAAAGTAAAGACAAAAGTCATTATTATCTACTCATTTTTTTTTTTTTTGGCAAATTATTGGTAACGTCCTCTAAAGGTTGGAGGAGTGGGGTGTGGTTTGGCGGCATTCATTGCCCGTTTGCCACCGTGTTAAGGAACACTGCCCCCTTATACGGTCTTGGGTGCAGTCTAGTCGTACCTCAACCTCAGTAGTAAATGGTCGCGATGGTCGCGTTTTCTGATTGGTATTAAAGATTTTGATCATTTGAATGGTTTAAAATCTCGAAGTTACTTTTTTTTTTAATTTTTTATATAACCTATTTTTTTATTTTACCAAACCTCCTTCAAATTTTTTATCTTTCACCATCTTTTTTCTAAGTTTTTAATCATTTGATGTGTTTTTTTTAAGTTTGTAGGAATAAGATTTCTAGTTTTTTTTTCTAAGTTTGTAGATTTTTTTTTTAATGTTATGTTATGTTATGTTTTTTTAAGTAATGTAATGGGTTTTAATTTTTAAGTAAAGGATGTTATGTTTTTATTAAAATTACAGTTTTTATTTAAATTAAATTTATAATAATAATAATAATAAAGTGTTGCACCATCCTTGTTAAACAACTAGATATCGTATATGTCCAAGCTAAACTTTAAATGTCATATTTATCCTTGTTAATGTTTTAAAATATTTACCAAAATCGTTTTTTAAATAGTTTTTATTATTTAATAATATTTTTTAATAATATTTTTAATAATATTTTTTATAATTTTAAATCATTAAAACTAAAAAAATAACTAAATATACGATAATACCCTTCCTTTTTAAATAGAAGGAATCATTCAGAGAGGTTTTATTGCTCTAGTCCTTGTTTGATATCTAAAGTGATATTTATGCATATTTATGAATCCTATATTCAAAATCATTTGCCTTGACTATGCATTTTGCCTTTTCATTTTAGACACTTAAGCTATGCTTTTTGAAAGCCCTCATATGATGAGCTTGTCAAATATGGCGTACTTCTCTGTTCACATTCCATTCACTAAGCAAGGTAATCATAACTTTGAAGGTTTTTTTTTAATTGTATTCTACTTTTTATTGGATGATGAATCCGGATAATTATATTCTTAAGGGTATAGATTACTAATTAACAAATAAAAACATAAAATTACCTCATAATTATTAGATTGCAACAAAAAATTAGCAGAATGCCAAAAAAAGAAGACTCGATTAGGGTTACATATGAACGATCATGCTAAAAAATCTTGAAGGCAAGGGTATTATGGTCCATTTGGCTACTTTTTATTTTTAATGATTTTAAAATATAAAAATGGATTTTTAAATAATAAAAATTGCTTAAAAATAGATTTTGGTAAATACGATATTTTAAAACATAAAGAATGACAAATATGATATTTAGAGTTTATGTTGGGCAAATACAATATTTAGACGTTTAACAAAGATATATAGGAAATTCTCCCTTTTTCCAATGCTCACCATTTACTCGGTTGCCTCTACATATATGACATGTCATGACACAATACTATTTGGTTATATAATGCTGACATGATATAATGACATGTCACATTTAAAAAAAAATATACAAAAGACACTATTTTTCTTTATTTAGTTGCTAGTTTATTTCTACACCACTTTTTCATTTATTTCATTGCTAGTTTATTTCTACACCATTTTGTTCATTTATTTCGTTGCTAGTTTATTCAA